GAGGCGCGAGGCGAATGGTCCGGGCAGCAGCGCGCTCCTCTCCAGCCGGTTTGGATCGCCCGCCCAGGCGCGCGCGGGGCTTGGCCTCGCTCCCCTTTTGCCACCACCGCTGCGGGCCGGAGGCGAAAGACAAGATGCAGCCGGCCATGTAAACAGGGCGGGCGGCTGGACCATGGTGTGGGCGCCCGGGTTGCTGTCCCTGCAATGGTAAGTAAGGACCACCTGGGATGACACCCCCCCCCCCCAGCCTGGGGGGAAGGAAGTTTCTTTCTTTAATTGCTCTTCTTCTAATCACCAGCGGTCTCGCTCTTATAAAAGAAAGAGAAGTAGAGCTTCTCTTCCCCCGCCAATCCCCATGTGGATGAGCTCAGGGTGCCAAGGCTGATGGGCAGATCGCATCATTCTCAGAATGGCACCGCATGCCCTGGCATGAGCAACTTGTGCCTAAGAGGCATGTGTTCAGAGTATTTAATAATACCCATTTCTGGGCTGAGTCCTGATGTTGAATGAAAGCCCTCATGGCATACACGCAATGCCTGGAGGTAATTTGCTAGACTGTAGAGCTGTTACAGATCTCAGTTACTATTTGCCAGCTAAGAAGTACATGTCATAGATGGGATCTTAACCTGGAACAAATGATTTACATCAGGGAAAGCAGTGTAACATAAATTTCCGTTGCTGCTGGATAACTGAAGAAGACAGTGTTAAAAGCAAAATTGTCTCACCATGGGAATATGTTCTGAATCAGTCACGTGTTGCCAAGAGTATCTTCCATGTGTGAGATCTGTAAAGAGAACTTGAGAAAACTTTGAACTTTGCTTTGTTCATTCCCCTGTAATTCTTATCAGGTCAGGTTGCTTTGTTCATGTTTTATTTCCCTCTGTAATTTCTTATCATGTTGACAAGGGATCCCCAGTGATTTAAATGGCAATACCCAAAGTGTGCTAGAGAACCTTTTCCTAAGAGAGATATGTCCCCCCCTCCTATGAGTTTGTTCCACTGAATAATGGATGATATGCAAAAAGGGGATAGTCATGTAAATAGTGTCAGCTGATGTAAATTTCACAAGCAAGGGGAGGTACACGTAATCCAAGATGGAGCAAAGTAGACAACCCCCCCCCTCCGTAGCAACAGAGGAGGAGAATATTGGGGATGGAGAGGTGATGAAAATGGAACCAGGATTTTATGAGGAGGCTGGCACTGGTGCATGGATCTAAAACCTATATGCTCTACAAATCCACAGAGAAAAACCCAAATTTGGTAAGTTTAACACAGGAACAGGAATGGCAGTAGGTGGTGGGTGGGGGTAAATATGAGTGTCTCATTTTGTATACTTTTATTTTATAGTCTTGAAGTTCCCAGTGGGTGGAAAATAAGACTGATATGTGTTAATGGAGAGGAATGAAGCATTCATGGAGCTATCTAGCATTAGTTTGCTGCAGAGTGTGAAAAACCTAAGTGCTAACAGTTGTGCATTATTTTAAGCCTGAAACGTTATGTGTATGGACATGAAATACACAAGTTGCAAGGGCACCTATTAGTGGGTGTAAAAATATATATGTACTGTATTGATTTTTAAAGTTCACCATGCACACTTGCGTCATTGTTTTTATCCTACAATTGTTGCATGGCAGAGATAACAACATGCTGGACCACCCTGAACTTAAAATTGTAAGATCTTAAACATAAAATCTTTTGTCTAAATGCTTAAGGAGTACTCAGCTATTCCAAGATTTAACAGTGATATCCTTCACAATATTAAAAGAAAGGGAGCAAGACTCCAACATCTGAATAAATACTACCATATATTCAGACAAGAATAAATATTTCGCAAACTTGTCAATATTACTTTACACCTTTTCATTGTGTCTACACTAGAAAACCATTAGCTTTAGAGACAGCAATTATCTGTGGTAAATACTGGTGGAATCCCTGAACTTTACAAGCAAAGCAATCAATTTGTTTTAAAACAGGGTTTAAGAGCAGTTGCATAACTATAATTTGATTTTGAATAATTGCCTTCTGCTTGCATGACTAGCTGAAGTGTCCAGTTCACATAATGCACATTCAACTTTGTTTTGCAAGACCCACCTCTTCATGTCTTGCAATGCAAATCTGCAGAATAGATGTTCTATTCCCTTTGTCAGTGCTTTCCCTTAGCAGTGTATCTGGTATATATCTTCCAAATGTCACTAGCATGAAGTCTATTCTCAATAAAGTGCTAAGGAGCAGCAGAGAGAAATGGAGTTTGGAAGACATGAACTAATGGTCTGCTAAGCTCTTTTTGAATTGGTATGTTTCTGTGGATGAGTAGATGTTCAAAGCATTTCTTATATGTGCCACACTTTTTGTGTGTGTATAACTACTGCAATAAATGAAAAGATTGCTTTTAACATCCACATTTGCTTATCTAAGAGGAGGGTTCTGCAGTCGTCCCTCCAAAACCTGTTTTAGATTAATATTGTCAAATCGGTACAGCTTGATGTATTTAGCTGCTATGCTGCCTCTCTGTTTGCTTAGTAGAGGATAATTCTATGATAGAAGAGCTGTATGGTCCCAAGGGATGAGGGAGAGGGAATGGGCAGAATTCGCTGTCAATATTATTTGCCCACCTTGTGGATTGTGTACAAATATGTGGCAAACTTAATTTTTTAAAAAAAAGTAGTAAAAAATTTTGTTTTTTCTACCATAACCACATGAAAACAAATGTGCTAAATGAAAACTACCACCACTGCCTGCCCTTGGGATAGGTGATTATTGGTCCAATTTTATAGACTGAAGCACTGAGACTTAGAGTCAGTTTTAGTCTGTGGGTAAATAGAAAGATATAAAGTCAAGCCTCTTGGTTCTTGTGTCAGCACCCTAAAGAGTGAGTGCCAAGCATGATCAGTGTGCAGGCACACAAAGAACCTGGATAGGAAACAACTCACTTGCACATCTGTTTGCTTTTTGTGGGACTTGGACTGGTCGGCCACCAGGGGCCAAGGCAAGAGGAACATCATAAATGGAGCAGCCCAGTGGAAAGATAGTATCTGTGGAAAGGGTTAACCTGTGAGAGTTATCCTTACATTTTGAATTAGATTTTTGTGAGGGCATTTGACTTATTGAGGGATGCAGGTATTCCAGCAGTACCCCTGCCAGTTCTTGCTTTTTCTCAGGGAAAACTGACCCCAGAACAAATAAACTTAACTGACCTACTAGATTAGGAGTAGAAAAGCACAGGCACTTTCTGTTCACAGAAATAGTTAACAGAGAGCATCCAATGGATGGAGCCTATAGACCAGGAGTGAACAAAAGTACAGTCTTGGTGCTCCTAGTTCTCAATCCAGATTGTTCTTGTGCTGGTTTACCTTTTAAACAACAGCCCCCCTCCCCCTGGCTGAAATAAGATAGATCAAAATGCCAATTTTTCAAAGCTAGAAGTGAAAGTCTAGAACACTTTCATTTCTCATTTGTGTTTTGTGGGGACAGTTTGTGGTGAACCCAAGAAAGATCTGGGGTAGAGGGGGCAGCACATTGGCCCCTAACCTACTGGAGTGGCTCAGTGCTGTTAAAGAGGGAGCAGAGATGGTGTGTTTCTTTAACAGAGCTGTGTTTGAGTACCTGGAGCATAAGAAAACAAATGTTGAAAGCTTTAAATGTCATCCTAGTTAAGAGGCATCTTAAATGTTCCATGATAGACATTTTGCAATGAAACATCATGGAGGTCTGAAATCACTGAAGTTGAATATCTATACCTATCAGCTACATATTATACTGAATCCAGCAGTTACGAAGTTCTGCTCATTTTAGACTGGAGTACCCAAAAATGAACCAGCAGGAAAATAGAGCTGCTTCCTCACAGCAGAGGTATTGCTTCTCTCTAGAAGGAAGGATCTCCAGAACTCTCATAAACCTTCCCCCCCTCTTGATCAATGCAGTACAGTGATTCGTTTGTGTTTCATTATGTGGAACCTCCGGTGAAAGTATTTTTGTTGCTGCTGCTGTTTTTCAGGGCTAGTGACCTACTACAGTACTCCATTTTTCTTAACCATTGTGTTGTTTAATTTATGTACATATTGCTGGCAATCTTTGCACATTACCTACAAAACTAAACACTCAGTTTAACACATTCTTTCGAAATTGCTGCCTTAACAGGGATGATGTTTTCTAAGAAATGTGTGAGTTGTTGAATTGTTTTGATAAGGATCCTGGCTCTGGCACTGGTGTTTTGAAACTGATGGAAAATCTTTGAATCTCCTTCACAGAACTGGGTTGAGTCTGCAGGTCTCTGATGGGCAAAAGAGATGCTATAGGCTGTGAAATGCCAAGGAATTCAGCGATGTATATACATTGTACAGTACCTTGATGTTGGAACTAAGCAGCCTTTGGCTGGTAATACAGCCCGCATCACCTCTCAAAACAAACAAACAAACAAACAAACAAACAAACAAACAAACAAACAAAAAATCTTGCCTCCCATTCCCCCCCAGCTGATATCTTCTCTGAAAAAAGGAAATTCATGCTGTGTTTCGTCTTTGCAGACTGCACTGACAATGAGATTGTTGCTATGACGTTATGTAGAAAAGTGGACTAAAATGTGTTCCTCGGTTTTTTGAAACCAATATCAGTTTAATTCACAATTCCTTTACCTAACTTTTCAGGGTGTGTCCCAGCCACATATGTATTTGTCTGAGAATTATACCCTACCGTGTAATTTGAGTTGATGTAAAAGTTACTCCACCGTATCTAATTAAGACAACCTTGTTCTTAGTTTTACAAGTCTCTCCCCACCCCCTCTGTGAATTCTGAGAAAGCCTGTAAAAAAACCTGACCAGTGCTAAATGTTCCCTGCCAGGTCTCCAGTGCATCCAGTCCTACTTATGTCCAGTTTCTTTCCTGTTGCATTTGCAAACCTCTTCCCCATGTACTTTTCAATGGGAGTGGGGGAGAGCTTCCTATGCCCGAAACAAAGCCTTACCAGTGGGAAACATGCCTAGCAAAGTTCTCTCCCTCCCCATCCCACCACAAAGATTGCAATTTGCCAGGGGATTCACACATTCAGATAGGAATCAAGGGGTTTTGTGGTTACTTCCCCTGACTAGTGCTTTTGAAAGATACTTCTTGGAGGAAGGAAGGAGATGGGCCAACTTGGAGTAAGCAAACTCTATTTATGTGCTAAACTGAAAGCAAGAAGTTTTGGGTTTGGATCATATCACTGCTTGGCT